GTTCAGCAGATGGTTTCTTCTGACTGCTAGCCTTTCAGCAGTGCTTCAACTCTGTACAGATGTCCTTCGTTAGAACATAATGAAACGAGCTCTTCTTGAAAAGGCCCTGAAATGCTATGTGTTCGTTTTGGAAACCGTTAGCACATTAGAGAAATTCCCTCTGTTGAATCTGTTATAAACGTTGTTGGATGGTGTATCTCAACGTCGGGCATTTCACTGTACATACCTTTTCTACTTGTCTGCCTTTGCTATTTACCTTGGTTATCATGTATGAAATACCTGTTTCCATCGATGGAAGAAACATGTCGATTACATTGTAAACACAGCAATGTTTAGCCTCTACCATACAGTTGTTACTAGGAATGGATAACGATTTTGTCGTATTGTTTTCTTCCACAGTTGATATAATTTCAGCCATTGAATTTGATAAAAGTGGAGACCATCTTGCAACTGGTGATCGTGGGGGTCGAGTGGTTCTGTTTGAGAGGACAGACACGAAAGATGTGAGTTCCTTCTTCTTATACAAGCTTGACTTGGTTTTTCCTTTTGGCATTTGGTTTGTGTTGTAATGCACTCCTTTGTTCTGTTACTTATAGCATGGAGGAACCAGGAGGGATCTTGAGAGAGCCGATTACGCCATTAGACATCCTGAGTTTCGATATAAAACAGAATTCCAGAGTCATGAGCCCGAGGTATCCATTTTCACTTCTCACCAGATTTTGCTTCACCGGTGACCATATCACTCATGATTGAAATGACCTCGCTTTCTATTCTCTTTCAGTTCGACTATCTCAAGAGTTTGGAGATAGAAGAGAAAATAAACAAAATCAGATGGTGTCAGCCAACAAATGGCTCATTGTTTCTTATTTCCACAAATGATAAGACCATAAAATTCTGGAAGGTAAAAAAAAAACAGGGGACTCTTCTTTTTTTGGCTTCAAAAAGTTTAAAGCCTTTATAATGATGAGCTGCCTGTCTAATTCAGTTCTGTAATTTTCTATTCATGTGTTGACTATAGTGTAAAACATATATGGCCTCGAAACTGGTTCTCGTTGTTTCTGGGATTTCAATTGGATAATTAATTTCGTTTTCCTCTTGTTGGTTTCTTTCCTTCTAACTGCTTGGTTCCTCCACCTTCTTACTTTCATATCAAACAGGTACAAGAGAAGAAGATCAAGAAAGTTTGTGATATGAATGTCGATCCATCCAAGGCTGTAGGAAATGGTAGTCTAGCAAGTTCAAGTAAATCAAGTAGCCCAAGTCAGTTTGTTGCTAATGGACTATATGCAGATGGAGCGCATAATGACTTTTCTTTCCCGCCAGGAGGAATTCCGTCTCTGCGTTTGCCTGTGGTAGTTGTGCTCATTACAATGTTTCTATTGGGACTTCGTTTGAAAGAACTGTCTTAGTTTCAATTTTCTGACAACAATATAACTGTTTAATAACCACTGTATTCAGAAATCTATTTGATAGCTCTGCCACCTAGAACTTGCAACATTTGCCCTCCAATACAGACTTTCATGTGATGATGAGTCCTACATTTCTGTGGCTACTTGTTCTGTGAATATCGTTAAAGTTTCTTAGGTTGCCTGTATTTTCTTTTGTCTTGATTGAAACTAGGTACTAAGTTTTAGCTTTAAATCATATATTAACGTAATTGATCGATCATTTATTTAGTCTAATGCATGTTTTTTTTGCAATATTTAGGTAACTAGCCAGGAAACCAGCCTTGTGGCCAGATGCCGGAGAGTTTATGCTCATGCTCATGATTATCATATCAATTCGATCTCAAATAGCAGGTACTCGTTGACTTTATATATTTTGAGAAAAACCCACTGCTACTCTATCATGAAAATTTTAAGGAAATTGTTTTAACATACAACCGTAAAATATTTTATTGAAATTTTGTAGAAATATATTTTCTCCCTCTTTTATTTTTGTGTGACCAATCTCTTTGTCCAAGTATTTATTTTATCCTGAATTCCTTTGCTTGTACATACATTATCTATATATTCCCAGTGAATATATTTTCTTCTGTAATGTGGTAGTGATGGATACGCGTGCACACAAAAAAAAATCTATAGAATTCGAAATGAGAGTATTAGAGAGAAAATGAGGGTAGTACGTTTATAAGAGAAATTATGAGAGGGATGTCTAAGATGATTTAGCCATGTAAAAACGTAGGTTGATAGACACTGCAGTTAGAAAAGTAGAGAACATAGGAATATGAGAGATGAATAGAGACGAGATAGATCTAGGCTCACTTAGGAACGAGTTATTGATAATGATTTGAAGTGTTTATAAGAGTCGTAGAACCTAATCCAAAACTGAAATGAATGGAAGAAAAAGAATTCATGCGGTTGAACCCAAATAAATTTGGGATTAAGGATTAAGACGCTGTTGTTGTTTTAATGTTGTAGTGATGGAGAAACATTTATTTCGGCGGATGATCTGCGAATAAATCTATGGCATTTGGAAATCAGTAACCAGAGCTTCAATATCGTTGATGTTAAGCCTGCAAACATGGAGGACCTGACTGGTATGCATACTACGCAATCTCTTCCCCACCTAATAAACTGTTCTCTCACGCAGTATTTAACAACGATTCATATGTTAGCAACTGTGTTATCTCTGATTCATGTTTTACATGTACTCTGAATGATGTAACTGTCAGAGCAGTTTGGTCTTGCATCTGCTCTAGGGCTTCAATGTTTTTGTTTCCCAGACCTCTCTGTTCTCCTTCCTTTGGTCTTCATCTTAGTCAACCTCAGGCGCACTTTACATAACAACAAATAGTTATATTTGCTCGTTTCCAAAGTAATACTAAGCATTGCATTTACCGCAGAGGTTATTACGTCAGCCGAGTTTCATCCTATCCATTGTAATATGCTCGCGTATAGCAGTTCAAAAGGATCCATCCGTCTGATTGATCTGCGGCAATCAGCTTTATGTGATACTCATTCCAAATTGTAAGTGATGATTTTCTTTCTCCTTTTTTTGGGGTTTCATTGATTGTTGGATAGGCATAGCAGCAACAACGGTAAATGGTCTGGATTTTGTTGAACAATGAAATAAGGAGGAGTTAATCCTAGTCTTTAGTTTATCTCGTTGATACGATCTGGAAGCAAAGAATAGAGTTGCATTTCAGGCCTCTGACTGTTGTTATTTCTTATCACAGATTTGAAGAACCAGAAGTACCTGGTTCAAGATCATTTTTCACGGAGATAATTGCCTCTATCTCTGATATTAAATTCTCAAGGGACGGACGATACATACTTAGTCGCGATTACATGACCCTCAAGGTTCGCCGATTATGTGTTCCTCTCGTGATTGCTTAAGTTTTTAAGACCACGAGCCTCCATTAGATACATGTCTCCACGCTAATCATTCAGCTGCCTTCTGTGTTCTCTCCTTTTTTGACTTTGAAATATATTCTTTTTTTCGTGTGTTCTTTATAATGAATCTTCTAAAGGAGTTGGATACAGTTCGTTATTAAATTATCTGAACAATCATCCAATTCGCTCTGATCTCTGCCCTTTCAGCTGTGGGACATAAATATGGATTCTGGTCCAGTTGCAACCTACCAGGTTCACGAGCACTTGAGGCCAAAGGTTTTTTTTTCTTCTTTTTTTCTGTTCTTCTTATGGCGATGATGTTTTCTTCAAGATTAAGGATGCAACTCTTTGTGCTATTGCAGCTCTGCGATTTATATGAGAATGACTCAATTTTTGATAAATTCGAGTGTTGTCTAAGTGGCGAGGGATTGCGGGTAGCCACCGGGTCTTACAGGTTCGCTTTCGTCTGTTAATATAGTTTGTTTTTGTAATGTTTTGCTATTTCATGTGAGGTGGAGAGCGTCATGGTAAATTTTATTTTGAGCCAGCAATCTATTCCGCGTATTTGGAGTTGCTCCGGGAAGTACTGAAGCCACAACTTTGGAAGCTAGCAAAAACCCGATGAGGTACATCACTAAGGACAACATTTTCTCCACAAACACTGATAGCTTAACAGAACTGATCACAGAAAACTTTTGCTCTATGTTATCTAGGAGGCAAGTTCAAACGCCTTCGAGGCCTTCTCGATCCCTCAGCAGTATAACACGTGTGGTCAGACGGGGTAAGTAAATCAATTTAGAACCGCATCAGAGATTCTCGAAAGCTCGGTAGTTTTGTTTTCTTCACTCGAATTCATGAACGCAGGATCGGAGAGCCCAGGGTCGGATTCAAACAGCAATTCATTAGATTTCACGACCAAGTTACTGCATCTGGCATGGCACCCGACAGAGAATTCGATCGCCTGTGCCGCTGCAAACAGCTTGTACATGTACTACGCATGAAGAGAAGAAGAAGAAGAAGAAGAATGGTTCAGGGGAAAAAAAAAGGAACGGGTTGCTCTGCTTCATTAACATCCGTTTTCATCTTTCATTAATTCAGGTTACTCTCCTTCACTCTCGTTTTTTACCCCAAAAAAAAAAGGAGCTACACATTTCTTGCAGCAAACGAAGTATGGTAACCTCTTTCTAAGTCTTGTAACCAGAAGATGTAGTAACTGAAGTTGTGCCGGTGACGAGAGAAGCCATGATTGTCTGAACCGACCATCCCATGGATCTTTCGAACTGGTGAGGCAAAGATTCATCGGCTCCCCTTCTCTCTTTTTTTCCCCTTCCTATCTATTACCCGTTTTCGAAATTGTTTTTTTTTTTTTGGGCCGCTTTTTTCCTTTTTTTGTTCGGTTTTGATAAATATCTTCGAGAATTAGAAGATGATATGTCTCGGTTTGGGAAGAAGAATTATTGTAGTTAAATTCCTTCAACAACAAGAACAACAAAAGACCTGTTTTTTTTTTTTTTACACAAGGTAATGTCTGATGATGATATGGGATTTCCGTCTCAAATATTGTTATTTCTCTCTTTTGCAATGTTAAAAAAAATGTTGGATTTTGTAGGTGCGATATGTTTTCTGAAAAAAGAAAGGGTGTGATGATGATGATGATGTGCTTCATCTATTTATTCATTATTCTTTTGCCATGTCCTCCGACATCTCTGTGGCCGTAAGATTTGTTTTAAAATGGTTTTAAGAGTTTTTATAAAGTGAAATTCAGTACATGTGATCAAAACAATCAAAGCTTTTTTTTTTTGGTCGAATGTTGATACGTGAGTACCGAGTCTAGAATTTATAACTCGATTCACAACTCACCGCAAGGATACGGATCGTCGTAACACGGAATCGAACGCAAGGACCGGTAGCTAAGTCTTAACCCTAATCGAAACTAAATCAAAGCAAGCAAGCGAAAGTGATGGTGGAAGTATGTGGAATCTAAAATAACTAAAATAAGAAAGCAAATAAAAAGGGTGTAAACTATCAAGCAAAGATGACCGTGGGTGTCGGGGCCGTATTCGCGTGTATGGATATATGCTAAGCATGCGAGAATCACGATATTGAATTTGTATTCGGGAATCGTCAAGCAACAAAGATAGAGAAATCACCTCCCGACATATAACTCACTATCTAAAGTTTTCTAAATCCATATGCCTATGTGATTTATCAAACTAGATGCATGAAGAATGCTATCATCAACACTAGATTGATCAAACCATATTCCTATGTGAATAATACGATCTATTCCATCGATTTCGATCCGAAACTAAACCCATATTCCTATGTAGTTCAGAATCTAAAACAATTGGTCAAGGGGTCAGCAAACACCAATTGACATGAAGTGCAAATCGATAAAACCGAAACAAATCCAAATCGCAACCAAGTTAGGGTTCAAACATACCCAAAACACAAACGAATCCCTAACCCACAGCCGTGGATCTACTCATGGTTCATGGAAAACAACAAAAAGCTCAAAAGAAAAGAGATAAAAGAGAGGAGAGAAAAGCTCATGTAGATATGTAGTTTCCACGATCGAATCTTCCTTCTTCTTCCCGAAATCCCGTGAACTTCTATTCTTCTCTCACCAAAAGCTCTCCAAAAGTCTGTATCTAAGTGTTCTCTAAGGCTCTCCTTTGTACTAGGACGTGGCTAGGGCTTTTTTATAACCCTAGGGCGGCTGCCAAGAGTCCTATTCCCATTATGATGTTGAAAATCGCGAAACAGTGTTTTTGACTGGATCCGGGCCGATTCCAGGTAGATCCGGACTGGATCCAGATTCCTGGGGTCAAATTATGCGTTCTTGATACGGACCGATTCCAACCTGAATCGGCCCTGCACCGGCAGAATTCTGGTCTTCACGATTTCGCTCATAACTTTCTGCTCCGGTGTCGGTTACGCAATTTTTGTGTCTACGCGAAGCTCTTGAAGTGCTCTTTCCGATACAAGTCTCGCATGATTTGGACCTCTGTAGAGAAAGTTATTGATATCGCAACATGAGTACCTCATCTGGACTTCTCCTTTAACGCTCCAAATAGCTCCTTTTCGAGTCCAATCATCTTCGAAACCTATAATCTGCAAAACTAAAGCACAACCGGGTTTTGTGTCCTAACACGTCTAGAATGTCTATGAATGCTTGTGATTATCCCGTAAAACCTAGACAAACTCTTATCAAAATATAGAGAAAAATAGGAGTTATCAAATCCCCCCACACTTAAACCTTTGCTCGTCCTCGAGTAAAGAACGAAGGAATAAAATCTACAAAACAGGGAATGACGAACATCAAATAGCATCATCGTGGGACTCAAAAGCAAAACATCCATCCAATACTAGTTTTCCGATAATCGTACCAAAACCGGTCTACTATGATCTTCCTACCAAAGACTAATCTACCTAGCCATGGGATTTTTATTGCCACCTAGAACCCGTTAGAATCTCTACAACTCACCAAGCCTATTTCCGAACCTATCCTTATCTCAACTTAGTCTTTTCGATCTTAGTTCTATTTCGTACCTGGATTTTTACCTTTCTATAGAATTTCTCTATTGAACACTAGCACCTCGAGTTTCTAGGACGTTGAAGTTGAAAGACATCGTTTTTCTCTTTCTTTCTTTTTTTCTCTCTTTTTTTTTTCTTTTTTTTTTCTTTCAATGTGATGTCTGACCCACAACTTAGACCCGAACCATCAATCGATGCACTCATGTCCTCGAACGATTTTCGTTGACGAGATTTTGACAGCGGAGTGTCGAGATGCTTTATTTTTCCAAGGCATTTGTTGAACTAGATTTCATCGATCTGCAAGACTCGGAAAAAAGTTCTAAACAAAACTTATAACCTGGATCTAGTCGTTTCAACTCTATAGGTTCCAAATAACAACCTCATCCCACAAACTTTATATAGAAAGTCTGGATAACTATCAATTCGACACGGTTCAACCACGTTCTACAAAGTCACTAGATCATCAAGATATTCCTAGTCTATCATCCCACAAATCTTCCAAATGATGTTCAAAACGGGTTTTCGAGGTATGCACGTGAACCTATATGATCCTAAATCTATATGATCAAATGCAATCATGCAAACCTAACAAAAATCATCTATATGAAAAAACAAAAAGGAAAACGTGTAAATGCAACTAATGCAAAGTGGTATGCAAAAAGATGCAAAATTTTCCTAAGTCTATATGCTATGATAAAATGCACCTAAACTAAATGCAATTCTAAGTAGATAGACCTGAATGTGTGAAGGATCTATCCACCCCCCCAGACTTGAACCATACACCGTCCACGGTGTAAACTTGAATCATACACCATCCACGGTGTAGACACTCCCCCGGAAAAGTAGAATCCAAAAAAACGTGTGAAAAGAACCAATAAGAGGGATAGAGAAGGCTTAGCTCTGCGAAATTCGTTCGCTCACAACGAAGTTAACTCACGTCAAACGCAGGAGCTCTCACACACTCTATGAATTGGAACTTATCCAACGATGTCTCTCGGAAGCCGATGTTCATCTCTCTTGTGTCGGTGTAACCGCTCATAGAACAACAAACGTTATCCGAACAAAAGCATAATAATAGCAATGCACTCCCAAAGATCCAAAATACAATCATGGTCTCTACAACCTATGCTACAAAGAAAAATAAAAGAGAAAGAAAAGTTACCTAGTACTCGGGTTGCCTCCCGAAAAGCGCTTGTTTAACGTCATTAGCTCGACCTATCTTGCTCAAATGATGGGAGGGTCTGAGAGTGATGAATCTGGAGGTCGGGGTGGTGGTCTATGCGGGTGTCTCACATACTCTGATTTCTCCTCATGTGTCATCCATGCTTGAACATCTGGAATGGAAGAGTGAAAAACAAGTATGGAATTATCAAAAAAAATGCTTACTTGTTTCCACTGGCCTGAGGATGACGTCTAGATGCTTCCTATCATCTGAGAAACAGACATCGTCTGAGTCACATGTGATGCAGTCCGAGTCAAGTTTCGAAAAGAAATCACTCGGGCTTGCTTTGGTCCGATCAATCTCAAGTGTATGGGAGATAGACTCATATTCTGTTTCTCCTTCATTTAGCAATCGAGTAATCTCCCAAATCGCCTCCCAATTGTTGTAGATGTTCTCATCACCTGTAATCATAGTAAGGGGGAGAGCAAACTAGTGTAGATGGTTAGAAAACAAAAACTATACATAGGACTCGACTCAAACATACACACAAAAAGACTCAAAAAAGACACGACTCAATATATACTCAAGCAAGATCTAAAATCGATAAAGACCTAGAAATAGGCTAACCAGTCCCCGGCAACGGCGCAAAAAACTTGATACGTGTGTACCGAGTCTAGAATTTAACCCGATTCACAACTCACCGCAAGGATACGGATCGTCGTAACACGGGGGCGAACGCAAGGACCGGTAGCTAAGTCTAAACCCTAATCGAAACTAAATCAAAGCAAGCAAGCGAAAGTAATGGTGGAAGTATGTGGAATCTAAAATAACTAAAATAAGAAAGCAAATAAAAAGGGTGTAAACTATCAAGCAAAGATGACCGTGGGCGTCGGAACCGTATTCGCGTGTATAGGTATATGCTAGGCATGCGAGAATCACGATATTGAATTTGTATTCGGGAATCGTCAAGCAACAAAGATAGAGAAATCACCTCCCGGCATATAACTCACTATCTAAAATTTTCTAAATCCATATCCCTATGTGATTTATCAAACTAGATGCATGAAGAACGCTATCATCAACACTAGATCGATCAAACCATATTCCTATGTGAATAATACGATCTATTCCATCGATTTCGATCCGAAACTAAACTCATATTCCTTTGTAGTTCAGAATCTAAAACAATTGGTCAAGGGGTCAGCAAACACCAATTGACATGAAGTGCAAATCGATAAAACCGAAACAAATCCAAATCGCAACCAAGTTAGGGTTCAAACATACCCAAAACACATACGAATCCCTAACCCATAGTCGTGGATCTACTCACGGTTCATAGAAAACAACAAAAAGCTCAGAAGAAAAGAGATAAAAGAGAGGAAAGAAAGGCTCATGCAGATGTGTAGTCTCCACGATCGAATCTTCCTTCTTCTTCCCGAAATCCCGTGAACTTCTATTCTCCTCTCCCCCAAAAGCTCTCCAAAAATCTGTATCTAAGTGTTCTCTAAGGGTCTCCCTGTTCTAGGACGTGGCTAGGTCTATTTTATAACCCTAGGGCGGCTCCCAAGAGTTCTCCTTTCATTAGAACTCTAAAAATTGGCTCTCCAAAAGTCTGTATCTAAGTGTTCTCTAAGGCTCTCCTCTATACTAGGACGTGGCTAGGGCTTTTTTATAACCCTAGGACGGCTCCCAAGAGTCCTATTCCCATTATGATGCTGAAAATCGCGAAACAAGGTTTTTGACTAGATCCGGGCCGATTCCAGGTGGATCCGGACTGGATCCAGATTCCTGGGGTCGAATTATGCGTTCTTGATCCGGACCGATTCCAACCTGAATCGGCCCTGCACCGGCAGAATTCTGGTCTTCACAATTTTGCTCATAACTTTCTGCTCCGGTGTCGGATTTACGCAATTTTTGAGTCTACACGAAGCTCTTGAAGTGCTCTTTCTAATGATATCGCATGATTTGGACCTTTGTAGAGAAAGTTATTGATATCGCAACATGAGTACCTCATCCAGACTTCTCCTTTAACATGAGAAAGCTCTTGAAGTGCTCCTTTTCGAGTCCAATCATCTTCGAAACCTATAATCTGCAAAACTAAAGCACAACTGGGTTTTGTGTCCTAACACGCCTAGAATGTCTATGAATGCTTGTGATTATCCCGTAAAACCTAGACAAACTCTTATCAAAATATAGAGAAAAATAGGAGTTATCAAATGTTAATTTGTATTACCAAAATTGTGTACATCCATTCATGACTGTACATTCCACGGGTTATATTTCTTTTTCTGGATATCCGCATATGGCTGTGGCATCGAGCTGCCCATCGACCGATGCCTAGCTCGATCTCGCAATCGATAAGTGGAAGAACACTTATATGACTCAAAAAGTTCGGATGACAGTTCTCGAAAGAACTCTAAAAGAGAAACTCTCGAATTATGATTAAACAAGATATTCCTACAATAGACGGTTATAAACCCTTTTAATAAGTGCATGTTTTCCAAAAAAAAATTAACCAAAAAGATATAAAACAACTTAAACGGTGGAGAATTAAAAACCTAGAATAACTTTCGGACCAATCGTTCATTCTGTAAAAACAAAAAAAAACTCTAGTTGACGCGCGTTCAGTCGAACCTAAATCGAATTCGTGTTATGAATGCGTTCTTTGATTCATTCAGTTTGATCGAACGGATTTCTTTCGGACCGAATTCATGTTTTGAACAACACAGTTCGGTCGAACTGACTTGGTTCGGGCCAAAATCTCCTTCTGTGAGATTGTTATTTCACTCGAAGAAGGCACATCCAAGTCAGTTCTTCGCCCCTACACTCGTCCTTGACTCCTCCATGCTTAAATTCTTCTTGGATCATGCTCATGAATGCAAGCCCTCGAACGTGATAATGACCCTTCAATCCCCAAGTCATACTCCAAATCCTCAGTTATCGTCTCGTCCATCCGGATGTCCTCACCACAACACTTGAAAGCAGATTCGGATCGCTATAGCGAATATGCCATGGTATCATCTTACCAGGGTAAGATGAAACTCACAAGCATTTCGATATACAGGAAGTTGTTGGTCATCCCCACCGACAAACCTACCACACTGCCCTCAATGGTTCTGAGTTCCACTTTCATGACTCTAATAGAAGCCAATCACAAATTTTTTGAAATCATGTTATAGTTTGTATGTTATAGGATCTGCCAAGATAGAAACCATAGAATGTTTCTTCTCGTATCCAACATGGTAGAAGCCTTGCGAATAAAGGTGAACTAAGATAATCCAGTGTGGAGTGGCAGAATGATAATGTGACAAGGATAAAGTCCCCTCATCAGAATTCGAACCTGTTGGATTCCCTACGGGTTCGTAGCATGCGATCTCATCGATCTAGGGTTTGGTTTCTAGGTTTCATGCAGCGGAAGAAAAAGATCTAAACCTAGCCAAACGTCACACAAAACCATTTGTGCAATAACCCGAAAGAACGTGTATATCATCGTGGAAATCGAATACTTACCTCTTTCCTGAAGAAACGGAAGTAGGAGTCGATCCGGGGCCTGTTTAATCACCTATGACTGAAGTTACAGTCCCTCTACATGTATCCACACCGACGGGAAGGATTCCAAACGTTTTTGGAACCGATCTGCTAGGATCTGTGAAGTATGTCAAGTGGGATCTAATCCCGTGAGCTAAAACTATTAAAGAAACGATTTCTTCTGAGTTTTTGCTCTGTCTTTAGGTTATGAAAGTTAGTTCTACTCTTAGGACGGCGTCCAACACCTCTTTATAAGTTAGAAACCCTAATCCTTATGAAAAGAGACTTTTTCCGAGTACTGACTCTGTTCGAGTCAGAACTCTGACTCAGTCGAGTCAGAACAAATCAGCCAAGCCCATTGTCAACTCTTGACTCGGCCCACTGAATATTGACTCTATCGGAGTCAAAACTTTGACTCGGTCCGAGTCAAAACATCAGCCAAGCCCAAAACACTTTCTGGGCTTCGACTCGTATGGAACTGACTGGTCCGAGTAAGAAGGCTGAATTCGTCCCGACACTCTGATTTGATCCGAAAAACCGTTTGTTCGACCAAATCTAAGTCTTCCTTTCCGATACTTCACATATAAGTCCATCCCTAATGGTGTGTGACCCTGTAGGCCCATTCGCAGTGGCAGCAGCCTCGAGAACCATTCCCGATCTACAAGTCATGGTTAGCCTCTAGCAAGACGCCATGACCACCCACGTTGAATTGAGTTAGAGGTGATCTAACCAAGGCAGTAACAGCTCGAGTTATGGTCCTTTGTCTCACGATATCATATGTTGAACAAGGGCATGGTTTGAGCCACCCTTCAAGTTCAAATGCTTTCTCGTCTTGGCAAATCGACTAATAAAATAGATGCAACTTCATCTATAGCGTGGCCACGCATTTTCATAGTCCGACTTCCACGAAAGCGCCCATCGATATCTCTCCTGTTGAGGAGGTGACAAATCCCGTATTGCATATCTATTATCTCCATATGATTCGTGAACGTATCTGATCAACGCCATTATAATCATCCGGTTAAAGATGACGTTTGACGTAGTCAAGACATGCTACTCCTCATATCAGATACTCTAGACATCTCAGGTCTAAGGATCCAAGAACAAACCGCTATATGAGATTCAAGTCATGACTCTTTCCATGTGACAATCTCATGTGGGTCAACCTCGTTCACAACGAGTACCCATGATTGTGATATGCATCCAATGCATCGATCACACCTCATGCTAGTCTTAATTCATCATTGTTCCCACAATGATAACTGATCAGAGTGTTTAGAATCATTCTATAATGATTCAAGGATACCGAAATATAACAAACATGCCAATCATATAACGGGAAGAGTAATGCATTCATGAACCAATGAATCAATACAAAGTCAATGTGTCATATCACGGATTATCCTAGAGCATCACAACCAACCGAACTATCCGAGGAAACTTAAAAAAAAAAAAGATGGACTAAGATAAGTGAGAAATTTTTAGAGAAATTTATAATAAAATCATCCAATTCAGAGATAACTATCAAATTCATCACGAACTTTTAAAATTCTCATATTCATATTGAATTTGAAATTCTTTTCTAAAAAATTATTCAGAATTTGAATTTTTAACAAAATTTTCATCGGAAACGAATTACTTTTGACATGTTGACAGAAAGCGTTTACGTGTCATATATTAACTTGTCATGTAAGATACACGTCAAATTAGTAAAAATTATAAAAAAATGGTAAAAATTTGTACAATTTTTTACCATTTTTTTACATTTTTTACATTTTTTAAAATTTTTCAAAATTATTAAAATTTTTATATTTTTTTTACAATTTTTCACAATTATTACAATTTTTGCAATTTTTTACAATTTTTATAAGTTCTTTACATTTTTTTTATAGTTTTTTCAATTTGTTTTACAGTTTTATTTTTATAATTTTTACTATTAATGTGATGTGTATACTACGTGACCAATTAGTAAATGACAGGTAAGAATTAATTTTGACTGTAGACAGTATATCGTTAGTATACTAAGTGTATACTATGTTTTCTGTCTAACATGTCAAAATTATTTCGGTTTCGATGAGTATTTTGTTAAAAATTTAAATTTTGAATGGTATTTTAGAAAAAAATTTAAAATTTATTATAAATATGAGAATTTTAAAAATTTGTGATGAATGTATAAGTGGATTTTATTGAGAATTTCTCAAATTTTTATAATATTATCGTCCGTTATTGTAAATAAAGAAGCTTTTGGTATTTATTTATCTACCGTAATTAAATATTTTTTTCCCAAAAAAATATATCGTTCTCACGTAAAATGGTGTGTGTGACAATTCAACAGCTAATCTTAGATTAAAAAAGGAACAGAGAAAATATATTAAGGAAAAGTTAAAGAAATAGAAGGAAAGGGAACAGCAAAAACCGCTTTCGTCTTCGCCATGTCCTGGTTCGACTAATCGTAGCACCCGCGATTCGCAGCCATCTTTTACCTTTCGCCCAACAGATAGGAGGACGAAGGCGGCGCCAAAACCCTAAAATTTCTCCTGGGATCTGCGAATTCTTTGGTTAATTCTCACCTGGAGTTTATGGGTGGTCTTGGTATGGCTGAAGAAACTAGGTGAGGAACATTGGACTCATTTCCATCGTTCTCGCATTCGAAATTTTTTTTACGTCTTTTGAAGTAAATTAGTGTTTTTGACCTTCCTTCTAGAGGGTAGGACTTGAATTTGATGAAGATATTACCGAAATATCGATTGAAGTTGATGAGTCAATGAAGAATCGAATTGGAAAATGTCATTTTTCACCTGTCTGAGAAGCCTCTTGAGCAATCCTCTCTTTGTAAACCGTAAATGGGGATTATCGTACGCAAGAATAGTCGGAACCTTTTCGTATGGGGAGGGAAATGGCAAGTGATGTAACAGACGAGGGAAGGAAGAGAGTTTTTTCCTTAGTCGTAAGCTGGAAATTGATTTGCTTTTTTGGATTAGCTACAAGATTTGGAATATAACCGAACTTGCGAGAGATGTCTCTTTGTGTTTGCCCACGGTGGGGAAAGAATTGTGCTTGGCAGTTTCCGGGGTGGTTGATGCGTTTTCATGAACTTGTGATTCGTATTTTTTCTGCAAGTACATAGATTGCATAGGCGTTGAATGGAGTCAGGAATCATAGTTTGTTGTGTTCTTGTTTTGAAATGTAAGTTGGTTGTGTCTGACAAATGGGACGCATCTTGTAATGTTTGGTGACAGGATGGAGAATGAGACCGATGATTTGGCTTGTGATAATATAGCAGAGCTTGCTGTCAGCGATGAAGAGATTGATGCTGAAGAACTGGAGAGACGGATGTGGAAAGATCGTGTCAAGCTCAAAAGGATCAAAGAACGACAAAAGGTCAAGGCTCAAGTGGCTGAAACCAAAGAGAAGGCCAAGAAAATCTCGGATCAAGCTCAGCGGAAGAAAATGTCTAGAGCCCAGGATGGCATCCTTAAGTACATGTTGAAACTAATGGAAGTCTGCAAAGTTCGAGGGTTTGTGTATGGTATTATACCTGAAAAGGGCAAGCCTGTCAGTGGTTCCTCTGATAACATTAGAGCTTGGTGGAAGGAGAAAGTGAAGTTTGACAAGAACGGTCCAGCAGCCATTGCAAAATATGAAGAGGAATGCTTAGCTTTTGGGAAATCAGATCGGAATGGAAACGCGCAGTATGTTCTCCAAGACCTGCAAGATGCAACGTTAGGGTCTTTGTTATCTTCTTTGATGCAGCATTGTGATCCTCCACAGAGGCGATATCCGTTAGAGAAAGGGACTCCTCCACCATGGTGGCCAACTGGGAAAGAAGAATGGTGGGCAAAATTAGGTCTACCCATAGGCCTGACTCCTCCTTACAAAAAGCCCCATGATCTCAAAAAGATGTGGAAAGTTGGTGTTCTAACAGCTGTAATCAAGCATATGTTACCTGATATTGCGAAGATTAAGAGGCATGTTCGCCAGTCGAAATGTTTACAGGACAAGATGACTGCTAAAGAGAGTGCAATTTGGTTGGCTGTCTTGAATCAAGAGGAATCCTTTATTCAGCAGCCAAGTAGTGATAATGGAATATCTAATGTAACTGAAGTACCCCAAAGAGGAAATGCTGGTAAGAGAACACATGTCATCAGCAGCGACAGTGACTATGATGTTGATGGTGCTGAGGATCGTTCAGGGTCAGTGTCATCTAAAGATAAAAGAAGATATCAAATACAAGAAGGAGAACCAGCAATTGTTTCCAGTGACGCTTCACATTCAGGAAGAGATAAAGACAAAGCAGAAAGACACCGCCGTAGGAAAAGACCGAGATTGAGATCTGGAAATGTTGACAAACAGCCAGAGCAACAGGAGCAACTGGAAGCTGAGCCAAGAAATATTTTACCCGACATGAATCAGGTGAACGCACCTCTGGTTGACTATAACGTGAACAATGCTCACCCGGACGGTGATTTAGAACCCAGTATGGCCTTACGACTACTAGATGGGAATGGTCTGGAAGGTCAATCTCAGCTGCCAGCTCCTGAGTTTGATAACAGTTACTCATGTGTTCCATCTGCCAGTGAAATGCCTAGACAACCAGTCATGTTTGTTGATGAAAGGCAAATGCTTTACACCGTACCACCAAACCCTGAGTTGCAATATGGAGCTTGTTATAACTTCTATAATCCTTCCAACGATTATGGACAGAGTCATGGTGAAGGAGTGCAGACATACATAGAAATGAATCTTTCTCATAGAAGGTTTGAGGCTTCCGGGGTCGAACCCCCTCTTGGGTTGCACGGAAATGAAGACGAAACAACTGGAAACGAATTGCCTCAGTATGGAAAAGAAACATTTCAGACCGAACAAGAAAGATTCTTGGACAGTAACCTTCTTTCTCCGACGTTTGATTTCGACCACTTTGGTGCTGGATTTGAAAACTTGGGTTTCGATGATTTTGGCCTCGACTACTTTGGAGCATAGTTACTAATATTTTGGGGAGATAGAGAGATACTACTTGGTCAGTTTGAGCTACCCTGTTTTCTCTTTGCTGCCTAAGATTTTGTTTTGCTAATTTCTCTCATGGTTCTTGCTTGATGCAAATTCAGGATCCAAAAGGAGATGGGATCAGTTCCTGGCCTGGATTATACACTTGTGCTCTCCTAGTAGACATTTGCCGAGAATTTAGAAGGTTGTGAGTTTCACCTTTTCTTTATTTCTTTAATTTTTTTTAATAATTCGGAAGTTCACCGGGTATGTGTTCCGTGTATATTATTAACCTGTGAATAATTAGTCCGGCATTCTGTACGCAAGCTTACCGTTTATAACAAAATAGTTACATTTTGCAATATATGTGTCGGTTACTTTCTTTTCGAGAAAATACAAATTTGCTGTGACCTCAAACTCTTGCAAGACTTTTTACTGTTTAGGATACTAGATTATGCTGAAGGCTTTCTTTCTGTCAAGGTGGGATTAAAGTTTTCAGAAGTATCTATATCTGAGTCAGCCTTATACTGCAATGCTTCTTAGAACCTATATGATGTGTGTGCTTTTTGGACCAACCTGTGATTGATATTGCTGAAACTTTGAACCTTCCAGTGAATCTTGCTTCTTGTTTCAATTAGGGACACATAATTTGTATACTGATTCTCTTGTTTTGTTTCCTGAACTCTGGTTATTGGCGAAAAATAAAGTTTTGTCTGCATATCTTGATGTTAGCATATGCATTGCGTATGTCTCAACGTCTGTTCAACGCTGTTACGGTTTATGTATCCCCCGTTTTCTTTTTTAGAATTCTTCGGAGCTTCAGGTATTACTCTGTGACCGCTGGGGATATAATCTGCTTCGACCCGAGCTTGCCTATGGAAGAATCCAAAGTTTTCATCAATCCAGAGTGTGTATTCCACAGATAGAGAAGAGAAAACTAAGAAGGGAGAAGAACCCTTGATCTAAAACCTCGGATCCAATTGTGAACGTCCCTCAATTGTTATCTCTTGTATCCCCATTTCTTCACAATCTGCAGATTGAACGTTGAACAATGAAGACACGTTGGTGATCTCCTTGTCGTGGGGACCGAAATTTTATTTTTTTTTGATAATCGGTGATGTCCGGTGGGGTTCGAACCGTAGACATGGAAAAGTACTTTGTATTTCCACGCTATTGGACCACCACTTCTAGACCGAAATTAGTTTACAATCTAACGAGAAAGAATGAAAGAACTAAACCTGTTCTAATATCCCAATAACATCTTGATTCAGAAACAACATAATCGAAATCAACAGCAGACTAAACAATTTGGGGATCAGAACATTGTTTAGATTCGCAACACAGATGACCATATCAAGATTCGCAACACAGATGACCATATCAAAGCTTCGTTATCAAACAAAGAAATGGGTTTTGTTGCATGTTCTCTCCTCTGTCTTTCTCAACCTTGGAATTTTTCATGATGGCCAGTTTCAGAAGTCTTGCATGAAAATGTTACATAACCATAACGTTCTCTAATTTCTCATAAACTCAGATTTTTCAACGGGAGCAAAATAAAAAAGATGCAGAATGTAACAAGAGCTCTCAAGTTCAGAGATTTGGAGTTCGAACAACCACATAAACAGGAACACACCCGATTGATGTTCCTCTGAAACTTACGGAAAACAGAGAATCTTACTTCAGTTTTTCAGAATTTCGAACACACTTTTCTCCTTGAAAAATTTCTTTCATGCATGTTTTTCATCTGCTCCATACTTGCATATATATCATACAAACATAACTATTACACCAACCCACACACCTAAAAACAATAACTGCTACAAAAGTTGTAACCACTCCACTTTTTGTTCCTTCTACATCAAAAATCTAACAACTCTAGTTTTGTTTCCGATTTTTTCAACAACAAAAAAACTTTCATTTTTTTTTTGTTATTACGATGGAAAACCTCTATCCTACAACTCTTCGGGTCGGACACTGGACATCGCAATGCCTCTCAGCCCATAGGTCGGACGAGAACGACATCAGACAACATCGCAGACCTGAGAAAACCCACCGCCATGCGCAGTGGCCGGCAAACTACGCAGAGCAGGTAAACCAGCCTCGTAAAGCTGACCGACTCAAGGAGAGTTTCTATAACTGGGTTTCGAACCCACAACCTCTTGGTAGAGGGGAGTTGTCATTAATCACTAGGCTGGGGGACTCCCAAAAAAAAAATTTCACTTTAGTTTCTTCTAGACTTAATAATTTTCAACAAAAACTGATCCAACAACTATTCTTTTGAACTCCAACATTTCTGATGGATTTTGAACTAGCAAGTCAACAAATCCGAAAAAATGTTGGAACAAACATTAGAAATCATGTAGAAGAAGAAGGATTTGGGTGATAACTGTTGGGGACGACAGTTGTTGACGACGGCAAAACTCCGGCAATTTGAGCGATTCCAGATAAGTACTTGAAATTAAAAGATTATTTTGTCGAGGTCTGTGAAACACAGTTTCCTTAAGTTCGATTTCCATGCCACCTCTAAAGCTTCGAGGCTACTGGAGCACGATGAACTCTCAGGATACAACGACCCTTATTTGGAAGAAGCTTTCCAAATACTAAGCAAACCCAAAGAGAGATATGAGCAAATATGTGAATACTCTTTTTTTTTTCTCTAGAATGCTTGTTTTTTTCTCTGTATTTTATGAGCTAACCCAAGACCCTTATTTATAGTAGAGGGGAGAATCTCAAAATAAAATCAATTTGATTTTCAAAATTCAAATTTGATTTTATGTTGATATTATCTCAATCTTATCTCAATAATATTTGATAGATTTTCTGCAGATTTGAATCCAATTTGAATTTCAAAATCAATCAATCTCTCAATATTCTGCAGATTTTATTAAAGTTTCTAGAACTTTCCACGGACCGGACTTCTCACGGGCTATGCCCGTTTTGATTCTATCAAATAAACCCAAATCCAACAATCCCCCACAAGAATCAAAATAGGGCCTTGAGTTAGGTGAACCTAAATGCATATCATGCAACTAATGCATTGTATGCAAATGATGTGCAATGCAAAATTTACTCAAAGAGAGTTTACTGTATCCGGAAAGGTAGTTTTACCTTTGAACTTTCCGTAATGAAATACTATCGGATGTACTTGCTAAACAGTGAACACGATGTCTTGAACTATTCAGCTTTTGTATATACCAAGACAACAGTACTCACGCAACACCCCCTCTCTCTCTCGTTAGTCCATTTGTTGCATCCATTATGGCCATGGGACAGCACCTGGTAGATTTCATCAAATACTCTAGAGAACTAGCCCTTTTGTCATTCTCATAAAAACGGCTCACTTCATACTTGATATAGGAGATTTCTCTTTGAGAGTATCTCAATATACTCTACTCTCGTAGGAGATAAGAGAATCTTTAAGAGCATAAACTCAACCTTCCCAATTTGTATCACTCTTATCATAGGAATGTGAAGAAACATCAGTCTCGAGTGATCCCATCGACCCCTCCACAATTTGGTTGTCCCATTGAACCTAACACTGGTGGTTTGTCCAGATAGGTTGGGTTACCATCATGGTGGTTTGTCATTCTATGGGCTTTAATCTCACTCCCCTCGATAATATTTCTACCTGATCTCTGTTAAGGCCTTTGGTCAGAGGATCAGCCAAATTATCTTTTGATCTCACAACATCAATAGATATGACACCATCTGTTAGTAATTTTCTAACGGAGTTGTCATCTGCGGATGTGTTGCGACTTTTCCTTATAAACATGCCTTTTTGCCCTTCCTATTGCAGACTGACTATCGCAATGTATGCAAATTCCAGACACCGGTTTAGGCCATATAGGAATATTCTCAAGAAAGTTTCGAAGTCACTCAGCTTCTTCACCAGCAAGGTCTAAAGCTATGAATTCAGATTCCATAGTGGATCTTGCAATACACGTTTGATTAGAAGTTTTCCACGAAATAGCACCTCCACCAACAACGAATATATATTCACTTGTGGATTTATTCTCATTCAAATCTGAGATCCAGTTCGCATCAGAATATCCTTCTAATACTGCTGGATATTTTGTATAGTGCAGTCAATAATTCTCAGTATACCTTAGATATCTAAGGAGTCTAATTATGGCCTTCCAATGATCACAACTTGGATTGCTCGTATATCTGCTAAGTCTATTCACGGTATTAGCAATATCCGACCTTGTGTTATTCATAAGATGCATTAAGCTTCCTATGATTCTGGAATATTCTAATTGTTGAACTCCCTCACCGGTGATGTTTTTTCAAATGAGAATTAACATCAATTGGAGTTCTCGCCTCAGAATTTCCATCTTTGTCAAACCTCTCTAAGATTTGTTTTATATAGTGACTTTTTGATAACGCATAACCGTCTTGTGTCTTGATAATTCTCATACCAAGTATTACATCTGCTATTCACAAGTCTTTCATGTCAAAGTAATTTGATAACATAGTTTTTGTAGCTTTAATCACCTTATCACTACTACCAGTGATGATCATATCATCTACGTAAAGACAGATAATCACAAATTCTGTCTCATTACCTTTGACATATATGCACTTGTCAACCTCGTTGACTCGAAATCCATTTGACAACATTACGCTATCAAACTTCGCATGCCATTGTTTTGGAGCTTGTTTAAGTCCATACAAGGATTTCATAAGTTTACACACTTTTTCCTCTTGTCCTACACTCTGCACCCTTCAGGTTGAAGCATGTATACTTCTTCTTCCAGTTCACCATTTAGAAATGCAGTCTTTACATCCATCTGATGTAATTCTAGATTATGTAAGGCTGCCAAGGCTATAATAAGCCTTATGGATGTTTTCCGAGTGACTGGAGAGTAAACATCGAAGTAATCGACACCATCAGTTTGTCTATAGCCTTTGACTACAAGTCTCGCCTTGTATTTTCTAATAGAACCATCGGGTTTCATCTTCATTTTGAAGACCCATTTATAACTCAATGGTTTGCATCCTTGTGGAAGATCCACAAGTTCCCAAGTGTAATTTTGTCTGATTGATTCAATCTCACTCTTCACTGCTTCCTTCAAATAAGGAGCTTCGGGAGATGACATAGCCTCTTGATATGTCTGTGGTTCTTTATCCAACATAAATGTTAGATAATCAGAACCAAAAGAAGTCGATTTCTTTTCCCTTTTACTTCTTCTAGGCTCTTCAACCTCTTCCTCTAATTGCTTAGAAGATTCATGAATTCTTTGAGATTCCATACCACTTAGATCTAATTCTATCCGAGTCTTGTTAGGGAAATACATCTTCAAAAAACGAAGCGTCTCTTGATTCAACGACTGTATTCGCATGTATTTCAGAATTATCTGATTTAAACACCAAGAATCGGTAAGCATTCGAATTGTGTGCATAACCAATAAACACACAGTCTATTGTTTTTGGTCCTAACCTAGTTCGTTTAGGAATAGGGATAGGAACCTTAGCGAGACAACCTCATACTCTCAAGTATTTATAGCTAGGTGATTTGCCTTTCCACAACTCGTAGGGTGTTTTGTGGAGTCTTTTATGGGGCACTCTGTTTAATACAAAGTTAACAGAAATCACTGCTTCCCCCCACAAGTTCTGAGAAGATCCAGAACTTATTAACATAGCATTCATCATTTCTTTCAGCGTTCTATTTTTGCGTTCAACGATGTCATTCTGTTCTGGCGTATAAGGGACTGTAGTTTGATGGATGATGCCATGATCTGCGCACAATTGCGCAAAAGGCGACTCATATTCACCTCCTCTATCGCTTCTTAAAGCTTTGATTTTCTTTCCAAGTTGATTTTCAACTTCGTTTTTATAGAGATTAAACATCTCTATTGCCTCATCTTTACTTCTCATTAAATAGAGATAACAATATCGAGTACAATCATCAATAAAATTAATGAAGTACTTTTTTTCACCTCTGGTTTGCACGTATTTCAAATCGCATACATCTGTATATATTAATTCCAAAGGTTCAGTACTTCGCTCAATATTTTTAAACGAAGACTTAGCAAATTTTGCTTCAACGCAGACTTCACACTTGTGGTCTT